TTTTGTTCATGTGATCAACTTGTTTCTTTGCTTGGATCGTGCAAAGTACCAAGGAAAAACATCGAAATTTCGGCAAATTAACGCCGAGGCGAGTGTGGTTTTTCGGAGCCATGTTTCCTTTGCCGTGTTGCCTGCTGGGAAATGCTCAGCGAAAACTGCCGAAAATTGCCGAGGCAGTTGTCGGGTCCTCCCGGGAGACGAAATCTAACATCGGACAATGGCGAGGGCCCATATTTGGTTATCGTCGCCTTTCGTCGCCTTGTCGAAATCGTTCAACTTTGACCCCAAATTCCCTTATATGGGAACATTACAATCTGCTGGAAAACGCCGGCAGGTTCGTGCGGCGCAGGTTTTCGATCTATTCACAGCGCCACTGCTTTGCTAATTGAAAACTATTGAATCCGGAGCCTATTTTTTCCTTCTGCAAAATTGCAGATTGTAAGATTTTTTCTTCTGCAATCTTGAAAATCTATCTGCAAATTGCAGACTGCAGACGGGTATTTCGAACACTGAAGAAGTACATTACATACTTTAGATACATTTAGAGAATTGTAATACATGTACTCTACTACTATTAAAATTTCGATTCTATGAGGCCTTCAAAAAATACTTACCACATCTTCTTCTGTTGTTACAAATACTGTAGCCAATTGCTTTAAGTCTTTTTTTTTCTGATAGGATATGACAGAAGTGATATGAAAGATACAGAGAACCAAGGACATCTGTGTATAAAATATAATGTCCTTGAGAGAACCTACCCCAGAATCCTGGCCATGTACAGACAGATGCCATTGTGCTTCCCAGAGAACTTCACCTCTGGACCAATGGCTGCGCTGCTGGGGTCAGGTGACCTGAAGGGGAGCTGCTGATTGGCCGGTGTGGATGTCACAAATGCAGAGGGTGTGCTCTGGAACAATGCTGTGGAAAACAGTGACAGTTAGCACGTTGGCAGAACATACTGTGCCTGTGTGAAACCCTGATTTTTCATGGTTTTCGTTGGATTTTTGGTCAACGTTGCATCAGAATCTTGCCTGTTGCAGATGACATCTTTTCCGACATAACATTTGGAAACTACAGACAGGATTTTAACATTATATACGCAGATACGACCTTATATGAAACGTTCTACCGAAGTGCTACATGTATGTACAATACATTCGGGGTTTTTGCGCAGGTGCAGTACGTTCTGTGACAGTTAAATGTTAATGACTTAATGATCATGAATAATCACAAATCTGTAGTTTAAAATTATATAAATCCCGCTATAAAATTGAATAGAATCAAATTTAATTTGTTTTATGCTAACCTCCCTCAATGCAAGACTTACAGAATTACAACATAGAGAAGACTTCTTTCCTCTCCATCAAAGTCCATGTAGTTACATATAGTTACTGATGACATGGCCTCTTAAAATGGATCTAACAGCAACAACATGAGCACCTGACGCACCTGAGGAAGCCGCAGGTGTCTGCAGACCTGGCACAGGGCTGGGTGCACCTGGCATGGGGCTCGGAGACATTCCTATGTCTGGATAAACATTCATACATGGTAGATATATGTCTGCTGCTGTATCTATAGCTAAACTATTTTTTGCCTAATATTTTTAGACATTTTTTCAGAAATTGTTTTTTAGAAATTTTGTTAAAATTTTGTTAAAATTTAGAAATTTACAATACAAAAATTTCAGAAATTCACAATATTTACAATGGAAAGGATAATTGAGGATTAGGCAAATTGTACTTACCATGAAGGATAATCCCAATTATACCTCACACGAACTATTTGGGTATATCATTTACCTTATGCAGTATTTCCTATGCTTATCGCTAGGTGGCGCACGTGTACAAAGCTCTAATCGCAAAGCATCACGGGATATCATGACGTAATGACATTGTTCGCCGCCATTTGACGACGTGCGAGAAAGAGCCTGTGCTGTTCACCATGGGTGGGCATTTTCAGCTACTTGGGAGCTGAAGAACAGCAAGGGTGGGAAGATATACCCAAATAGTTCGTGTGAGGTATAATTGGGATTATCCTTCATGGTAAGTACAATTTGCCTAATCCTCAATTATACCTGCACACTCCCTATTTGGGTATATCATTTACCTTATGCAGACTTCAGAGCCGTGGACAGCACAGCCTGGTCAAACGTGTGTTGGTTGTTGTCCCTCCTGTAGTACTTCAGGAAGGTAGACTCTCGTGACCAGTCCGCTGCATTCATGATGCTATGTAGAGACACCCCAGCAGCTGTAGCAGCTGAAGTGGATGCTCCTCGAGTAGAATGAGCTGAGAAAGTTGCTGTGTCAACACCTGCCGTGCCTAACACTGACTTAACCCACCTGGCCAGGGTCGCAGAACCAACTGGCCTGTGTGGTCTGCTGAACGATATGAACAACTTCTGCTCCCCCCCCTTCTTTCCGAAGGGAAGAAGTCCGCCTTAGATATTCTTTCAGGTATGTGAAGGCACACAAGCG